GGGGGTCGTCCCTCCCCGCGCCGACCTTTCGGTTTTGGGGAGAAACGCGTCCCTTTTACCTCAAAACCCTCTTTTTCCCCTCGGGAGAGTGCTCCGGGTCCCCAGTGAGGCGGTGTCTTACCGGGGTCCCTCCGGGAAAGGCTCGGTCTCCTCCCGCGGTGGAGCTGAAAAGGAGAAGAAAATGATGATTTTTTTTTTTTTTTAATTGAGTTTTCAGAGGAATTTGGCGTTTTAACAAGGAAGGATTTGGAGCGGGAGGAATGGGAGTCGGAGAGCGGGGAAGGTGGAGGCCCGCGGTCTCCTCGAACCCGAGGGAACGAGGCTGAAACGTTCGGGAAAGGGTTTATTTATCATATCAAATTCCTGCCCGCGTCTGGGGCGCAAAGGGCAGATTGAGGCTTTTTCCCTCTTTTTTTCTCACAGGTGTGGGGACCGAAGGGCGCGTCCGCCTGGTTTCCCCCAGCAAAGATCCCCCTCCGGCCCGAATTCGGGGCTCGCTTGTCGCGAGCGTGCCAAAACACACAGCACGCTGCGGCGTGGGGGCGGCTCTTGTCCGTCTGTCCGTCCGTCTGGGGTTTACTCACTATTTTGGGTTCAATCCCGCTTATTTTTTTGCAATTTCTATCCGTTTATCAGTGGGGCGATGCATTGCTGGACAGGGCAATGTCAGCTCCTTTTCTGCTGGCCGCGCCTGGCAGAGTTTGCGGAGTTTTGTGGCCATCGCTTTTGCTTCCCAAGCCTTTTCCTAGTCTAAATTAATGAAGAATTTTTCCAGTCAAGCAAATATTGGTCAGCGATGGGGAAATGGCTGAACAGCAGCCCTCGGGGGGGGGACATGTTCCCTCGCCGGGCAGGTTCCCAGCGCTTCACCCGCCGGTGTCTTGCTTTACCTCCGCCTTTGGCGAGCCTTTTATTTTGGGATGAGAGCTTGGTTTTGAGAGGGAAGCGGTCTCCAAAATGGGTAGAAAATCAAGGTGAGGTGGATTTTCCTTTAGGGGAGAAACTCTTGATTTTTGGTAGAAAGCAAGAAACCTCATATAAAGGTTCCCATCTGCTACGCTCCAGCAAACCCCCCCGCGTCTCTGTCACAGCCACCAGCAAGGCACCCAAATTTGCGGCCGGTAACGGGGACAATCTCCACGCACGGGACTCTGCGAGCGCTCAGCGGCTTTGGTATCTCCGGGCGCGTGGAGCGTAAACTCCTCATCGTCAGCTTTGTCCCCCTTGCGTCAGGGCGACCGCCAGCTCTGGGTCTATTTTAGGATAACGAGGGGTCACGGATTTTTCTGTGTGTATTTTGCCGGGAGTTGCCTTGCTTTGAGTTTTTGCCCCACCGCAATTAAACTGCTGCGGAGTTTTGCGATTATATCAGCCGCAGGTAACAGGGATCAGCGCTGTGCTTTTTGTAACCACCTCTGCTTTCCTTCTGCTCACCCATCTGCCGTTTATGCATCATCTTGCTTCCTTTTTTTTTTAATGTTTTCTAGCCATGTATTTGTTGTTCCTTTCTCTCCTGTTTCTGCCCAGTGAAGTGTTTTGAGGACCTTCAGTGGGGAGAAAGTTATAAAAATACAAGTTATCGGTGAAGCAGCTTGTTGCGTAGAAGGATTTTGCGTGCTCAAACCATCCTCCACAAACAGGCAGAATTACATTTACCAAACTTGGTGGTTTACTGCCGTTCTTTACTGCTATTTTTCCATAACCAAGGTGCACGTTGCATTAAAGCGCAGAAGAGAGGATGAATTTAATAATACGGGTTGTGCAGGGCGGAGTAAACCACAGCTGTTAATCCCGGTCTTATTCTCAGCTGTTTTGTGAAATTAATTCTGGGTGCTGCAGTTTGGGGTGGAGGTGAGCAGGGGGCGGCGAGGTTTCCGAGGGGTGGCTGCGGTCGCAGGGCACGGAGAGCGGCATGAGATAACGGGGACGGCTGCAGGCGGGCTGTGGTGATAAGAGGAGCTGGGCGAGGGAGGGGAAGTAATTCAGCTCGCTGCGGTTTCCTCCGCGCGTCGAGGCGGTGGCGTTTCTGGAGAGGAGATGGGGAGGCTCTCGGCAGAACCGCGTTCTTCTGGCAGCGCCGTTATTTCCTTCGTTTCGCTCTTTTTACACACCATGCGTCTCCTGTCGTTGGCTGTGCGTGGCCGTGCACAGGAAGATTTAACAGGTTCTGGGTTTGGATTGATTTATGGTTGCTGGTGGTATCTAGCACTCTTGATTTGGGTTCCTTGCTCCGTAAGGAGGTTCTACGCTGTGGCATCATGCAAAATCCACACGTCGTGCGGTCTCAGTGCCTGCATCCCTGCCCAGGCCACCTCCAGAAGAGCCCGTGTCCGGCACCTGGCCAGCCCACAAGCTCGCCTTCTAAAATATGCTACAAACCAGATAATCAAAACGCAGCAAAATTAAATCAGTTTGTTTTAACAGCAGAGCGGAATGGGTCAAAAGCGTATTAAGCCGTGCTGCTAATGGATGTAGAGTGAGTGCTGGGTGCTTGATTCATTGTGTGAGGTGTTAAGGCCGAACACTCATAAATCCAATCCCAGCTAGATGACAGAGGTAAAACCTCACTTAAACTTATTAACTTGTCTCTTCCAAAGTGTCTGCGCAGGGAAACTGCCATTTAAGATTTGCACGTGCAACTCGGATTTATTACAAGCTTGCTTTCTCTGCGGGCAGCGGCGTTACTGAGTCAGGCCGGGCGGGACGCGTCCAGTAATGTGAGAGGATGCGCTGGGACTCTTCCCATCACAAGCTAACCTTAATTATGCCAGTAATGTCTTGCAAACCATCGGAGTAGAGACTGCATGCTTTAATATAGCTTGCGAACAGACCCGGGTTTGCTTAGGAAGGGACCCAGTCTGGTGCAATACTGCTGAGGCTGTTAAGTGTGTCGTTAATGAGAAGGTAGGAAGCTCGTGCTTGTTTCTAATTGTGTGTGTTTCTCTAATTCTGATGGCTCTGATTGCTGTCGTACGTGGTTGTTCTTATTTCTGCTTTTTCTGTCTTGTCTTACTTTGGCACCACCGCTTTTAGAGTGCATTAGTGGGATTCTCTGTAATATTTCTGAGTTGCTGCAGTACATCAGTGAAAGTCTGTAGTGTCTTCCAGACCTTAAGACGCATAGTAATTGTTTTTTTTCGATCTTCTTTTTGGATCTGCTACTTGCGATAGCATTGGGTAGAGCTGTAGCCCATCCACGCTGGGCCGCGAAAGCATCTCCCACGTGGCTCTGCCAGTCCCGACCTGCGGCAAACCTGTTGTTGCTGAACCGGTCCAGACCCAGAGAGACGCGGTCTTGCTAAATGAGGTGGTAAACGTGAAATTCGATCGTATGCCCGACGGGTTTAGGCCGAGTTCTTCAGCGCTTCTTGCTTTGGACTCCTGCCAGGGGTGGGAGGCTGTTAAACCGATCTGCCTAGTCTCGTTGCGCTCCGATGAAGGCACAGAAATCTTGATGTTTAGCAGATACCGTTTCTGGGAACTTTTGTTCCCATAAAGCACATCTTTATTTTATTTTTCTTGCTTCCCTGTGATTTAGGACATCTGTAGGTATTACAGATCTAATGTTAACAGAAATGTTCCCATGGTGATTATTCATTTTTGTCTCAATATGTTTTTATGTTTAATCTGCAGACCCCTTGTTAAGTCAGATTATCATAATAGAAAATGATGTGACTTTGTGTTTTATAGTCAAAAGAAGTTAGTTCCCCGCCATGGACTGACTGCAGTCTTGGGAGTGGTGTCTTTGGGTGCTGAACCTTCGAGTCTGGATAGAGTTACATCACTGACATAAACTGGAAATCACTGAGCTAATCATTAAGGTCCCTTTAAAACTGGTTATTCTTGGGAACTGTGTTGTGGGAAAAGGCAGAGATCATAGGTATTGGACTGGATCATCCATGGATCAATCCTGATTGACGCTGCCAGCATGTGTGCAGTGGGTCCTTGGTCAGTAGGTGCTGACTTGGGAGGAGATAACGCTGTAGAAGACGGCCATGACTTGTGTAATCATAGAGATTGGATTTTGGAAGCGTGTCGCAAACGGCCCTGGTGCGAGGCTTTCTTTCTGTTTCTTGGCCTCTAATTAAGAGAGACCAGCCCTTCTCCGAGGTGCTGGGTTTCGAGAAACCACTGCCGGGTTTCGGTAAGACCAACTCTGCGTCGTTGTCCAACCACTTACTTTGTTGAGGTCTTTCTGTGCCTGAGGTAGAGGTGCTTTGGCAGGGCCTGTCCGTGGTGAGAATTGCACACCGTCCCTTCTGAAGCTTGAGATGGGTCCAGAGGATTTACCAGAATGCTTTCCTAAAAAAATAAAAATTAAAAAAACCCAAGATGATGTTTGCTTTGTCACGCGTGGTGTTTTTCACTGCACTCTCTCCATGAACAGATAGTCTATGCGGAGCGGCCTCTAACTGACAACAACAGATCTTTGGCCTCCTATGGCTTGAAAGATGGGGACGTGGTGATTTTGCGACAGAAAGAGACCGTAGAGCCGCGGCCCTCCATCCGTTTCCCAGGTGAGAAAGGATTTGCGCTGACTTTTGCTCTGCGAGTGCAAAGATCTCAATATTTATCAAACACCAACTCCGTCTCTTGTCTCTTTAGTACCTCGCTGGGCAAAACACTCAGGAAGGGAGGGTGGCTAGGGGTGAGGCAGGGGGCTTTTAAAATTAGCTAAAGGGCTTGTTATTTAATTTTTTTTTTATTCTAAGGAGGCGAATACCATTTTACTGTTCTTTTGGGAAAATACAGAGAAAGCAAGGAAGGTAACTGGTTCAGAACAGCAATTTTTGTAAAGGCATGTGAATTTTCATACGACCGCTGGTTTCCTTCCCGCTCAGTGTGATGGCCCAATAATGCGCGGTCTGTGCGTCTCAGACACATGAAAAGGCTGTTGCGATGTGCGCTCTGAATCTCTACTGTGGCAAATACCCAGAGAAGCCGCATCTTAACAAACCCGGTTGCGCAATCATGCGTACATGCGAAAGACTCCTCAGACAGCATCTGCGTGGGGCCCGGCTCCTGTGTCCTGCCTTTGTCCTAGCAAATCCCCCATCATAAAATATCGCTGGAAAAGAAGGTACTGCTGGCTGAGAAGGGTGTGGGAGCGTTGCTTGACATCCTCGTCCTCCTGCCTCAGCTGGAGGATGGGTACCTGCAATGCAGGTCTGCAGAAATGTTACTTTTTTTTTTTCTCCCCTGCTTTTTTTTAATCCGAGAGATTCAGAAGTGCCTTAGAGACACTGGGTTTAGCCTTGCGATCCCTCCGTGTGGTATTCACGTTTGTGAAGCTGGAAGTAACTAGTCTGCAATTCAGTAAGTGCATTTCAGGGGATAAAAAATGGGCCAGATAGATGGGTAGACCAGTTACATAAATACGTGCTAGCATTCCTAACCCAGTAACCTGAGTACGTGGCTGTGCTTCCGACATGAATTGCTATTCGCAGAATCCAGTCTAATACTGTATACTGTAGCATTAAGATTGGCTCATCCTTCCTGCAGTTTTTCCACTGCGTTTTTCAAGCAGAATTATAAACGTGAAGCGCCGACACGTCTGACCTCTTTTTCCCTCAAGGTCTGCCGAGGATAGACTTCAGCAGCATCGCGGTTCCTGGGACGTCCACTCAGCAGCATCAGCCACCAGCACAGCGTCTTCGCCCGTCGCCTCCCGATGCACCTTCGTTCCCTCAGGGTTTGGACAATCCGGCGCTGTTACGGGAGATGTTGCTTGCGAATCCCCACGAGCTGTCCCTGCTGAAGGAGCGCAATCCGCCCTTGGCGGAAGCGTTGCTCAGTGGAGACCTCGGTAAGTTGGGGTTTTCATCTGCGGGAAGTGTTTTTAAATCCATTTGAGCTCAATTCTAATAAAAGGCAGCCACAGGTTTTTAGCTAGCTGGGGTGTTCGCTGCCAACTCACTGATGATGCTGATAAAAGGTGCCAGTTGGGAGTACTCAAGGCAGAGTTCCTCTCCTTCTAACAAGACTGTTGCTGGCAAGTTGGGCATATTTCTCCTGCTTGGCTTTTTTAATATCCTCTATCCCCTACTTTGAAATATCAGATGCACAGATAAGTTGAGTTTCTGTGAAGACAAGTGGCTCAGCTCCCGGATTTTTATGCTAAGACTCTCCAATGCATGTTTTCCAATAACGGTGTTGCGTTTGCTGCATCCCAGAGCCCACCGAGACCTCAGTAAAGAGCAGTACACTGTAAAACCAACTCTGTCCGTAGTGATTAGCTGCTATGGAAGTGGATGTCAGAAAGGGAGAGGAAAAGGAACAAGCAAATAGTGTCTTTAGGGAGCTTTTTCAATAGGAATAGTCATAAATGTTAAGTTTCTGTTATCTTGAAAGTGTTCATGTATTTTGGGCACAGTTGAAGCCTAGTACTGCGTCCTTCACTTCCTCTGCAGGTGAGTAGCTGATGTTGGTCCTTCATTCTTCATGTGATGAAAGCTTTGAACTCTAGTGTCCTTTCAGTATGAAAACAGAGTGGTGTTTTGGGCATCAGAAGATGCGCCTCTAAACATCTGCAAGATGTTAGTTAGGAAATAAATCCTGTGGAGTTTGGGGAAATGAACGAAGAGAAGGAGCTTCTAGCAGGAGACTTTCTCCACATCCAAGGTTACATCCTAGTGATTTCTCTCTGTCAAAGGAAGCTAGAAAGGAACTTGCATGGATATTGTCAGCCTATCTCATTTTTCAATTCTGACTTTAGTTCATATTCAGAGTTAAAACCGTGTCCTTTGCGCTCTCAAGCTTCTTCACACCTCTTGCAAGCGCTGTGTCTGTAGCGCAGGAGTTTCTCCCATCACCTTGAGAAGATACGCTGCTCTCAGGACAGAAAACGAGGTTAAGCCCAAGACACCCAGAACTGGCTCATCTGCTGATCTGTCGTGTCTCATTGTGCACATTAAACTTTGAATCAGATGTGCTTTTGTAGTCCCAAACCACCACAGTGGGCTGTCAGAAGGAAGTGGTTTGATCTGGTTCTGCTCTCATCGTTCTGTACTGCTACTATCGGTATTTGGGCACAGATCCAGTTCAGCTCTGGCTCCGATGCCCAAATACACACATAGATACGTGCCATGTGACTGTGCTGGATGCACCTGCTACACAGCTGCCTAATTTAAAAACAAACAAACAAACAAGAAAACATACCCAATGCCTTCCTGAACATGTAACAGCCTTTGAGCCAGAGAGCTTCTTCATGGGAACTGCGTTTCTGGAAGCAAACCCACAACCTTCTCTGTTTACAGAACTTAATTTATTGCCAAGTCCTTTTGGGAATGTATGTGATCACATCCAAGCAGTGAAAAATAGCCAGAGGCCATCCAAAAAGCGGGGATCTAACGTCCTTAAAACGTGTGGCCAGATTTGTGAAGCAGGTGTCCCACTTAGGACCTCTTGATTTCAGTGGCAGGCATTCAGCTTTAGGGATCAGAATGTCTATGTCTTTGCCTATGTTGCTTGGGTTTAAAGTAAGTTCTGTGGTTAGCCTTTCTATGTCTTACAATTTTGCGTTTGCTCTTTGCTGGATCTACAGACTGTTATTTTACTGGGGATTGCTGAGTGCAAAACATGATAGATTTTGCAAGCTGTTCGTGTAGATGGGCCGTCTTACTGAGAGCTATGAAATCTCGCTTCTATCCCTGTCTGAAGCTTTTTCAAAATACACATGCACTCAGGCTTCTCGTTTGAATTGTGCAAGTTCTGTAGTCCTAATTTCTGCTTCGGGTCTCACTTATCTGCTGGTTTTGCAGCTGGTTTTTTTGGAGTATTGTGTAGGCAATTCTTGTTGCAATAGAAGAATGAATTCCTGTTTTAATGGCAGCTCTTTGTTTTAAATATTGTTGTCTTCATGTTTTTTCCATTTTTCTTCCATATAAAAATGTATGTGCAAGGAAATTGAGTTTGATTGTGCTGAGTTTGGGTATCAGGCACAAGGGGAAGGAGCTCTGTCCAGTTGCTTTTCATCTCAGCGGGTTCCCAAGTTTGCCACTGATCCTTTGAGGTCCATCCGTGCTGCCTTCAGATGAAGCCTTTTTTGTGTGTGCTGCTGAGTCTACCCCTGAGAGCACGCTGGCATAAAAAGAAGTGTTTGCTGTGCCAGAACTCGATTTGTAAGAATAATTTCCAGTAAAAAGGATTTCTGTATCTCCTTGTTACTGCAGAGAAATTCACCAGGGTGTTGCTGGAGCAACAGCAGGACCGAGCCCGGCGGGAGCAGGAGAGGATCCGACTCTATTCAGCTGACCCTTTTGATCTCGAGGCGCAGGCCAAGATAGAAGAAGACATAAGGTAGCAAACCAAAGTGCTTGCAGGCTTTGGAGGTCTTCATGGTGCTTTTTTTCCACAGGGTGCTTTCATCCATGGTGCTTTTTTCCTTGGAGGATGCAAGGAGTGTGTTTAGATCCTGCCTTAAGATGTTTCCAGGGCAATGCTCTGAGCCACCTTTGCATGTGGGAAGGTCGGGAATCGGGGACATGTAAGCACACTCCATCCTTTAGATGTATCCAGTTGAGCACGGACCGTGAGGTGGCAGCACCGCTGTCCATGCGTGTGATGTCCCAGAGCTGTCTAAGCTGGTCTGCTCTGAAACAAGAGCACTTGTGGAAAGCACTTAGCCGAGACCCTCTTGAGAGGTGGCACTTGGGTGCCTCGGGCGTGTTTTGAACTGGAGAGCTGGGCCTGTGTTAGTCTCTAAGCTGAGCTCTCTGCACAGCAACGTGGTGTCATTTCTCCCAGCTGCCTTTGAGATTTGGTTTTGCATACTGCTAATTGTTTTGTCTCTCTAGCTAATTCCAGACTCTGAACATCACTGCTGTCAGAAGAGATGTTCTGTAGAAATACATTCTGCTCATCAGCGCTCGCTCCCTCTTGCTGTCTTCCAAATGTAATTGCATTGGGCTGAGACTAGGTTTCTTAAATTGAGTGATAAATCCTTGAGTCAAAACATGACTGGTGTTTTTTTCGCCGATAAAGAAATGTCTTTGTGATATGGGCTCATAGTTGGTCATAACCAAAATTCATTTGTGATAAGAGTCATTCTTGCATTATGACTGACAAGGTGTTGGTGCTGGATAAATGCTTAGCTTAGCAATGCAGAAAAATATACATTTGTAGATAGCAAAACATTGCTCGGAGGCATAGGAACGCTTTCCTTCCTCCATAGATGAGGTGACAGATAAAGGTGATGTGCCCAAGGCTGTGCAGCTGTTAGGGAACAGTTTGGGCATCTAGCAGTCCCCAGATTTCACACCCCACTTAGTTTCTCTGAAATCCTTGCTTAATTGGATGCGCTCTGCCCAAGATTGATTGGAAGCTATTGCAAGCATCGTATTTTTTGAGACACGTCTCTGTCCTTCAAGTGGAGAGAGCATCAAGCACAGAGAAAACAGAATAATGGATTTGACAAGAAAACAAACTGAAGATTAACCACTGTATATCCAATTTAAGCTTAAATAATAAAAGACAGGACAACGTGTGGCTCTTTGTTTCACGAGTATATGAAGCGGGACAGACTGGCAGTGGTGTAGCAGGGTGCTTTAGCTCCCAAGCAAGCCAGGTCTCAGATGCCGTTAGCTGTTTGCGTCCCCCACCAAGAAACCACGTCTCCCCATCTTGTTGTGGGAAGGCTACCACAGTACGGGAGACGGGTAAGAGAGGAGCTTGGGGTTTTTCCCCTTCCCCTACTGAGGAGGAAAAATGAGATGGCATCAGAATTGGAAGCTCTTTTCCCTTTTTGGTAGATAAAGCTATTTCAGATGCAGTCGCTACGGATACCCACCGCTTCCAAGATTACTGTAGGGGCCGTGAGGGGCTCCTTGAAGAGTGTTTCTTCTGTAGAGTTGAATTTGCAGTGAGGGCTTGTGCTCATGGTGGTGTTCTCGCTGTGGTTTTGCTCACCTCCCTCCCTTCCTGTGCCTGGAAGAGGAAAGATACCAGGGAAACGTTGGAGGATTTTAATGTTCAGCTGCTGTGTGGGATTCCAGCGTTGTAGCTACTGGCAACATCTTCATCGTGTGCCCTCAGCGCTGTATTTTAGAGTGACTAATAAATACGCAGGTTTTTTGCTCACAAGTTCTCCAGGTTAACTCTGTGGTGACAGGTTTCTGTTGCAAACAGAAGGTTGTCAGGTGCTGTTGTGTGAGTTAGGCAAGGTGTTGGAAGGAGCAGTCTTCATGGCTGCTGGGGAGCCGACTTGGTGTCTCTGGATTAAGCCAAGATCATTACTAGCAATCCCTCTGCTAAGAAGGCTATGTTTAGCTAATGAAGCAGTCTTTGTTGTGGTTTAAACATGGTGTTTGTAAGGTGAGCTGCAGCGGGTGGGATTACCAGATCTGTTTGTAAGTCAGAGGGATACTTAGACGGTTTGGCTGATGGAAGGTCTGATTTTTCTCTCTCTTGTCCATTATATTCAGGCAACAAAACATTGAAGAAAATATGACGATAGCAATGGAAGAGGCCCCTGAGAGTTTTGGGCAGGTGGTGATGCTGTATATTAACTGCAAAGTCAATGGACATCCAGTGAAAGCCTTTGTTGACTCAGGTGAATTGCCCCCATTTTCATCTCTTTCTCTGCGCTCTCCTTTCCTTCACCAAGGGAGACTGTAAACGTTCCAGAAGTTTTGCCCAAAAATTCCATAATAAAGCATTGCATTACAAGATTTTGAAGCACCTAATTAAAACCTGAGAGCAGCCTGGGCATTGTTTAAGGTGAACAGAGCAAATTGTTGAGAGAAGCAGTTCGCGTGAGTGCTTGAACACCCCAGATCAAGGCTCCTGTGAGAATTTCTGGGGCTGCGATGCCAGAAAGGTCACTGCCACATGTGTATCTTATCTCATTTTACAGACGGGGGGGATTTCGCATGCCTTTAATGCTGCGCTTCCCATCTGCAGCCTTAAAGGGAAAGTACTTGGGGTTATTCCAGCTCTACAGTAATACGTACAGTACTGTCGGTGCTGATCTGTGTATACACAGTCAATTCAACGCAGTGGGATTCACAGGAAGCCTTTATGCCCTAATGCAGTTGCTGATGCAGTGTGGTTTCCCGGCTGCTGAGTGCAAGATCTTAAGCCCTTCCAGGAGAGAATTTTAATTTGTGATGAGCTGTCAGGATTTAACACCAATTCTGTTGCTGGTAGGTGCCCAGATGACCATCATGAGCCAAGCTTGTGCTGAAAGGTGCAACATAATGAGGCTGGTAGATCGGCGATGGGCTGGCATTGCTAAAGGTGTAGGGACGCAGAAAATAATTGGCAGAGTGCACTTAGGTAAGTACTGGCATTCTTCTTGGGGCAGCTTTAGCGGCAGTTTGACTGCATTTCCCACAATCTTGGCACCGAGGAGCATCTGGTTTAATTGTTAGAAACTCCTGCAGAGTAAAATAAAAGTGCATCTGCAATATGTTCATTTGACTCGAGCATGGTACTCTGGCTTCTGTCTCATTTAATGCATTTTTAATGGAATTACCTTAACACTTTCAGGTGAGGGAGTCCTCAGCTCAGAGGATGTGTTCACTCTGGGTGCAAGAAACGGGGCTAATGTGAAATGGAGCTGGACAAGCTCGAGAAGTGGG